TAGATCTGTTTATGTATATGATCAGGTGAGTCTATATCTGTTTATGTTGTGGCAACCCGGGGGACGTGGAGGCAAGATTCAGCGATAAAACCGGTGACTCAAAGACAGTAGCCATGTAACAAAAAGTGTCCTTTAATAAACAGGGTAGGGTAAAGCGGGATAGGGTCAAACTCAACAAAAGATTCCTCCCGGTCGGGATCTTTGGCCTTCGGGCTACACTCAGCGTGAGATGATTCCTCTGTCCTGTTTGGGCAGAGCAGAGGAGGGAGGTGAGTCCACTTAATTACCTCCGGTCTGCTGAAGCTCCTCTCCAGAGGTTCAGGGGATCTTTGTATCCTCTGCCTAGTCTGTCTGCCGCTGCTGCTTCACAGCTGCTCCTTCCAATTAGCTCATGGGCTGCAGGTGTGACCACTGCCATGTGCCTATAGTGGCTGCAGCATCTGCACCGGATAGTATACTCCCTCTATCACCTCCCCCAACCTGAGCTTGGGGATCCGCCTCCTGTGCTGTGTTGGCTCGGCTTTTCCCTCTGGTTTGCCACAATGTGTATAATCAGGTGAGTCTATATCTGTTTATCAGGTGAGTCTCTATATATACATATACATACAGGTGCTGGTCATATAATTAGAATATCATCAAAAAAAATTGATTTATTTCACTAATTCCATTCAAAAAGTGAAACTTGTCTATTATATTCATTCATTACACACAGACTGATATATTTCAAATGTTTATTTATTTTAATTTTGATGATTATAACTGAGAACTAAGGAAAATCCCAAATTCAGTATCTCAGAAAATTAGAATATTGTGAAAAGGTTCAATATTGAAGACACCTGGTGCCACACTCTAATCAGCTAATTAACTCAAAACACCTACAAAGGCCTTTAAATGGTCTCTCAGTCTAGTTCTGTAGGCTACACAATCATGGGGAAGACTGCTGACTTGACAGTTGTCCAAAAGACGACCATTGACACCTTGCACAAGGAGGGCAAGACACAAAAGGTCATTGCAAAAGAGGCTGGCTGTTCACAGAGCTCTGTATCCAAGCACATTAATAGAGAGGCGACGGGAAGGAAAAGATGTGGTAGAAAAAAGTGTACAAGCAATAGGGATAACCGCACCCCGGAGAGGATTGTGAAACAAAACCGATTCAAAAATGTGGGGAGATTCAGAAAGAGTGGACTGCAGCTGGAGTCAGTGCTTCAAGAACCACTACGCACAGACGTATGCAAGACATGGGTTTCAGCTGTCGCATTCCTTGTGTCAAGCCACTCTTGAACAACAGACAGCGTCAGAAGTGTCTCGCCTGGGCTAAAGACAAAAAGGACTGGACTGCTGCTGAGTGGTCCAAAGTTATGTTCTCTGATGAAAGTAAATTTTGCATTTCCTTTGGAAATCAGGGTCCCAGAGTCTGGAGGAAGAGAGGAGAGACACACAATCCACGTTGCTTGAGGTCCAGTGTAAAGTTTCCACAGTCAGTGATGGTTTGGGGTGCCATGTCATCTGCTGGTGTTGGTCCACTGTGTTTTCTGAGGTCCAAGGTCAACGCAGCCGTATACCAGGAAGTTTTAGAGCACTTCATGCTTCCTGCTGCTGACCAACTTTATGGAGATGCAGATTTCATTTTCCAACAGGACTTGGCACCTGCACACAGTGCCAAAGCAACCAGTACCTGGTTTAAGGACCATGGTGTCCCTGTTCTTAATTGGCCAGCAAACTCGCCTGACCTTAACCCCATAGAAAATCTATGGGGTATTGTGAAGAGGATGATGCGAAATGCCAGACCCAACAATGCAGACCCAACATCAGCTCGACAATCTTTTAATAGAGAGCTGAGTCAGTAGGTAGCCCTGTATCGGGCCAGAGAACCCCCGGATCTAACACGTGTTAGATCCGGGGGTTCTCTGGTGTTCTGTCGAGGAAACTCGCCTGGCTTCTGCTAACTACCGTTACTCCTGACGTCTACCCTGCTTCCACTGGTAACATGCACTAGGCCGAGGGGCCACCCTGGCCAAGCGCTTCTACCTAGTCGCGTCAGTTATGGCAGCTTTCCTCTTTTGGATCCGGGCTCTTGGTAAATTGCCAGGTTAGGTTTTAACGGCTAGGATTATAACTAAAACCGTAAGGGACTGTTAAGTGGACCGGTCACTAGGATAACCATTAAGAACTCTTGTTGTTAACATACAATAGCTTTAACCTTCTACTACCTCAGCAAATTAATGCTCTTGAGAACTTTACTTTAAATGCAGATTAGATATTTATTGCAGGATATATTAGCAAGGGCACAGCTACAGCTCACATAAAATAATATGATACTTGATTCAATCAGGTTACAATTTCTTCTCTGGTTATACTCATTAATTTTCGATGCCGAGGCGGCTCGGTGGAGCTGGATTCACAATGTAATAAAAAGTCCTTTTGGGGTTTTCAGGAGCTGAAGGTCCGGCCGAACCTTCAGCTCCTCCTGCGAGGCCAACGAAGTCCGTTCAGCGCTCTCTCAGACTCAGTACAAAGTCTTTAGGGCGGCTGCGTCCATCTGTTGTCCGGTTGTTAAAGTCAAACAGGGGGGAGAGGAAAATCTCCGTCTTTCAATCTTTGTCCTGGAACGGCTGTCTTCTTTCCGTGAACAGAGACGAAGTCCTCCGATTGCTGCTCTTGTTGCTCCGGTTGCTGCTCTTGTTCTTGGCTCTGTACCTTGTTGGACCGTCCCACTGAGGCACTAATAAAGGATGATCTGATCTGATCTCAGTGTGGTTCTATAAGCTCTTTAAGATATGATGGTGTCTGACCAGTTCGGGCTTAGTCGGTCAGTAAAAGCATTTTAAACTCTATTCTAGATGTTACAGGGAGCCAGTGCAGAGAAGCTCATACAGGAGTAATATGATCTCTTCTCTTAGTTCTTGTTAGAACACGAGCTGCAGCATTCTGGATCAGCTGGAGAGATTTAAGAGACTTATTAGAGCAGCCTGATAATAAGGAATCACAGTAATCTAGTCTAGAGGTAACAAATGCATGAACTCATTGCTCTGCATCTCTTTGAGACGGGATGTACTTGATTTATTAAATATTACGTAGGTGAAGAAAGGCAGTCCTAGAAGTGTGTTTTATCTGAGAGTTAAAAGACATCCTGATCAAAGGTAACTCTGAGATTCTTTACGCTGCTGCTGGATGCAGATCATAACATCTAGTTTGATCGATATACATCTGTGGTCCAGATGTTTCTCCTAAAGGCAGCTGGAGGTCTCTGTACAAGCAGACCTCCAGTGGAGGGTTGGACACGGGGCAATAGCCACAAACAGGTCCAGAGCACCTTGATCCTGAGCTGGGGGGGGGGGGGTGTATTCTGATATATCTGTTTGTTCAGTGTCCTCGGCTCTCAGCACTGTTTGAACTTTTAAAAAGCTGGTTCCAGGGTCTTGGGGATGTTTTTACGTTTGTTTTGTTTGTCTTTGGTCCCAAAGAGGAAAGCGGTCCACACTTTGGTGAACTTTTTGTCCGGTACGGTTCAGTAACAACACGCAGGAACCGGGCTCAGAGTGCCGGCAGTGTGGAGCTGGTCCCGGTTCTGAAGGGACTGCTAAAGGCCAGACTGAGGGTGGAACACACTTATTATCAAATGGACAATGTCACGGCCTTCAGCCGCATTTGGGCTGCGTGGGGGAGGAGGGAGAGCTGATCGTTCATGTGTGATACGTCGATACGTTTTCTGTGTTTGGATGAGTTGATTTATTTAATTTTTTTGAATCGATGACGTGACAGTGATCTGGTGTCTCCTGGATCAATAAAAGGAATTTAAAAACCAAACCTCTCCTCCTCCTCCTCCTCAAGTAGAAAACACTCAATTCATTTAAATATTTATTTATTTTTTCAATATTAATATTCATAAAATCAAACCCCACCCACCCTGTGTTCTGTGGGCGGAGTCAAAGTCAGCACTGGGCTCTGTGACCAATGAGACGCAGATGTGATCTGATTGGACGGCTCTGTTGTCACGGTGATGGCACTTCTCTTCAGGAAAGAGCTTTTTTGTTTCAAAATAAAAGTCTTCAAATGAAACGAGATCATTTAGTTCTTCCACCGGATTTGCTGAAAGAGAAGAAGAAAAAAAAACATGGCAGATCAAATGGTGAAGATGACTCCTCCTCTTGCTCCTTCTCCTCTACCACCTCTACCTCTCTTCTTCCTCCCCCTCTCTTCTTCGTCCCTCTCATCCTCCTCCCCTCCTCCTCCCCCCTCTTTCTGCTCCCTCTCTTCCTCCTCCCCCCTCTCCTTCTCCCTCCTCCCTGTCTTCTTCCTCCTCCCCTCTCCTCCCTCTCTTCCTCCTCCCCCCTCTCCTTCTCCTCCCTCTCTTCTTCCTCCTCCCTCTCTTCCTCCCTCTCCTCACCGTGTTGTTGAGCAGCTCCTCTATCTTCTTCTCCTCCGTTGATCCTCTCTCCACCTTCCCTCGGTATCCTATCAACTGCTGCCGGTCCTTCAAGTCCCGGTACGTCTGATTGGCCCAGAGACATGCCAGTCATTATGACATCATTTACATATCATCCAATCACAGAACAGCATTAATATTAACAGTCTCACGTTGATGACGATGTCATGACACTTGTATTTTTGAGCCAAAGAGATCCTGAGCTCCGCATCATCAACCAGTGCCACGTAGTCCTGCAGCACCTGTCAATCACAGGACACACCTGTCAATCACAGCACGCACCTGTCGATCACAGCACGCACCTGTCGATCACAGCACGCACCTGTCGATCACAGGACGCACCTGTCGATCACAGGACGCACCTGTCGATCACAGGACGCACCTGTCGATCACAGGACGCACCTGTTGATCGCACATGCACCTGTCAATCACATGATACACATGTCAATCACATGACACACATGTCAATCAACCCCCTCACAACAGGGTGGTGATGTTAGTTAGGCCCCGCCCTCCTCACCTGTGTGGGGGCGGAGTTCTTCTGCAGGATGTCTACGACTCGTTGGAAGCTGAGCGGTGACTTCTTCCTGGTGAAGCCGAGCCAGTTCCTGCTGGTGAACAGAGCGTCTACATCCGACCACGACTTCAGCTTCGCCCGCGCTGCCAACGCCGTCACAAAGTACTGCTTCTCAGAGATCTGGAGTCAGAGTCAGAGGTCAGAGACCGAGGACACACCTTTACCTGTAATATGTTTAAACGTCTCCTCACACCTTGAAGGTCTGACGGATGTTCAACGGGCCGCTGAAGGTTCCCTGTAAACACAAAGGAAACAAGCTGATCTGGTTCAACTGGTTTAAATAATGTGGTTCAGTTAAACTGGTTTAAAATAATCTGGTTCAGTTAAACTGGTTTCAATAATCTGGTTCAACCTGTTACCGCTCCAGTAAAAGTAGCCTAAAACGCCTATCCAAGGCGTACCCAAAGTAAACTGAAAGCTGTTCTTGAACCATTGGGAGTACATGCATGGTTCTGGTCTCTATTGAAAGGTAACACTCTGAAGTTTTTTCCCCCACAGTCAGAATCACTGTAAGTGCTACTGGCATTGAGTAATAGAACTTTGAACACACTGAAGTCGAAGGTTTTTATTTCCGCCTGAATATTTCTTTGCAAACAGATGCCTGCAGATGACTATAGCTGTGGCTTATTAGCTGTAAAACACAATGGGACCACAGCATGAAGCCTTACCTAGTCCAGGTTAAGATCTGATAACAATACCACAGAAAATTAATATTTCACACATGTTTTTCAGGGACCTGACTCGCGGTTACGCAGGTGACTTCCGTGTTCTGGCTGTAAATATAACCCCTGAAGCTGTATATCGTTATTTTCGAAATTTCATTGGCTATACGAAGCATCAGTCATCACAACGATCGGTTGCAATTGGCTCGAGCTTTACACGAAAGAAGAGGGGCGGGCACTTTCCTTCAACACGAACTCTCGTTGGCTGTTGTAGGCTGTAGACAGGACATGGAAGCTCCTATTGGGTCAAGTGAGGTGTCAATCAAAAGGTCAGAGTGCAGCCGCCATTTTGAGACCCAGAGACCGTTAATGTTTACATGTGAACTGGTTACGTTAGAAAATATATAGATATTTAGGCATATCTGCCGGCTAATATGAAATGATGCAACATCAGTCCGTGGGTATTTATGGTAATAATGTGTTTTGGACTGAATATTTTACTGGATTGGATCGTCTGGACTTTTGTTAATGTAACAAGAGCGTTTTTGTTGGAATATTATGGATGGCTGGAATACTATGAGGCTTCATCGGTGAGTTGCCTCGATTTTGTAACTGTTTGTTTGTGGGTTGGTGGGCTGACGGAGGCGTTGAGTGTACCTGCTGTTGTGATTGTATCTTGAAAAGGTTTGCATAAATCAAATCACAAGAATCTTAGCTTTCCAAAGACATGTCGCATCATTGCCCACCTATACATAGCAGTTGTACAGTTAACACTCCGACGACACGCGGGCGTTAAGAGGTTCTGGTTCAGTCATTCTGGTTTCAATAATCTGGTTCAGTCAAACTGGTTTCAATAATCTGGTTCAGTCAAACTGGTTTCAATAATCTGGTTCCTTTCTGAATCAGGACCCAGTAGAGTCTGGTTTAGTTAAATTCAAAGTAACCTCTGACTCGTTGTAGTGGTAGAAGCAGCAGTAATAGAGTGTCGTGATCAGCGGCATGTTGAGGATCGAAGCTTTTCTGGGAAACTTCTGGAAAACTTCCACCTTTCCACCACGTTCTGCCTGTCGGTCGGTGGTCTAGAAACAATATAGACAGTTTAAACTTGAGTAAACTGGGAGAGCTGACTGGAAAGTCAATATCACACAAGTAATACTGGTTTAACAAGACAGACCAACGCTGGTTTAATAAGACAGACCAACGCTGGTTTAATAAGACAGACCAACGCTGGTTTAATAAGACAGACCAACGCTGGTTTAATAAGACAGACCAACGCTGGTTTAATAAGACAGACTAACGCTGGTTTAATAAGACAGAATAACGCTGGTTTAATAAGACAGACTAACGCTGGTTTAATAAGACAGACTAACGCTGGTTTAATAAGACAGACTAACGCTGGTTTAAGACAGACTAATGCTGGTTTAAGACAGACTAATACTGGGTGAAACTGGTTTTGTGTGTTCTTTACCTCGATGATAACTTGTCTCTCCAGCAGAGTGTAGTGATCCTGAACATGAGAGGAATCTTCTGGAGAAAATGGAAGACTGGAAACAAACAAATGTGATAAAGTAAGTAAAGTTCCTTAGTTTAATATTTGTATATTTGTACACTACAAGTACAAGAGTCACCTGAGGCAGCTCTTCAGAAAGTCCCGCCTCTTGTTTTCATCAGCGATGCTCAGGTGTTCTTTGTACTGCAACAGCTGTCGCCATGGACACAGTTAGGTCAGACATGTGTACCACCGATACTTTAGTACTAGAACTGTGTACTGCTGGTGTATTAGTACTGGAACTGTGGACTGCTGGTGTATTAGTACTAGAACTGTGGACTGCTGGTGTATTAGTACTAGAACTATGTACTGCTGGTGTAATAGTACTGTGTTTATACGTACTGCCACATCCTCCATCCGGCCCAGAGCTCTGAGGACCAGAAGAACAGAACACATCAGATAAACACTGGACATGGACATCACACCAGGTGAGTTCAGGTGTGCACAGGTACAGGTTCAGGTGTGAGTAGAGACGGGTTCAGGTGTGGGTAGATACCTGAACAGCTCCAGCAGCAGCCTCTGGTCTCTGGTTTCAGTCAGATAGTGGATCAGATGTCTCAGAGCCGTCTGTCTGGACTCCAGCTCCCGAAACAAAACCTCTAAGCAAGAAAACACACAGAGTCAATAACACCAGGTCTGACTGATCCAGGACAAGGACAGACTGATCCAGGACCAAGTCTGACTGATCAAAAGTCGGAACCAACAGGCTGACCTTTACTCAGAGTCCTCTTTAAATATATTAAAACCTGAAAAAACAAACAAAAAAAACATGTCAGTTATTTTTAATAAAATCGACAATCATTTTTTTAAATTGTTGTTGCGGATCAAATGATGAATAAAGTTACAGCAGTGATGACGTTTCCATCGTGAGCAGTGACAGCGTAATCCAGCAGCAACAGTTTATCCTGAAGAGAACGAAACTTCTCTAGAGACACAACCTGAAACATACACAGAGAAATACAATGTGGTACTACATGAGATACTGAGACAGAAGTACTACATGAGACACTGAGACAGAAGTACTACATGAGACACTGAGACAGAAGTACTCCATGAGATACTGAGACAGAAGTACTCCATGAGATACTGAGACAGAAGTACTCCATGAGATACTGAGACAGAAGTACTCCATGAGATACTGAGACAGAAGTACATGAGATACACATTATAGTTTAAAACCTCTTCTCACTCCTGTAAAATTTGCCTAAAACGCCTATCCAAAGCGTACCCAAAGTAAACTGACAGCTCTTATTGAACCATTGGGAGTACATGTATGATTTTAGTCTCTATTGAACGGCAACACTCTGAAGTTTCTTCACAAACAGTCAGAATCACTGTAAGTGCTACTGGCATTGAGCTATGGAGTTTACAACACACTGAAAAAGAAGGTTTTTATTTCCGCCTGGATTTGTTTAGGCCAACAGATGGCAGCAGTTATCTATGGCTGGGACTTATGAGCTGGAAAATACACTGGTACGGTAGCATGGAGTCATAGTACTTCGTAGAATTTAGAATTTGATAACAATACAACAGAAAATTAATATTTTACACATGGTTTACTAAGAGTGCGGCCACGTAAAAACGCATTTGGAGGCTTGCCGTCACCACGTCAAAATGTATATACTATCGTCACGTCAAAATGCATATACTGTGATAAACTACGTGTCCGAAATTCGAACTATAGTTTGTTTATGTATGGTTAACTATAACATATATAACCATTATCAACTTTCACAGATTCTTGAAAATTCTCATGAACCAGACTTTGCTCTTGATAATCGGTCTCAGGTACTTGACTCACGGTTTTGAATTTCAGTTTTGAAAACTTTCCCAACATGCAATCTGCTGAATCTGCATATCCTTGTCTTCGTAATTTCATTGGCTATATGGAGCCTGAGATTCAATGGAATCTGTTGCGATTGGCTCGAGCTTTACTCAAAGAAGAGAGGCGGGCATTGTCTTTCAAAGCGGACTCTCGTTGGCTGTTCCAGACTGTGGCCGGGCTATAGAAGCTTCTATTGGGTCAAATGAGGTGTCAATCTAACCGGCGGAATGTAGGCTCCATTTCGCGATGAAAATCTCCGCTCTGTTGACATGAAAAGTGAAATTATGACCGAAATATGATCGCGAGTTATCATATCTGCTGGCTAATTTGAAATGATGCAACAACCCCCCGTGGGTCTTTATGGACGTACTAGTGTGTTTTGGACTAAATCTTTTACTGGATTCGATCCGAGAGGACCCTTAGCCACCTAGCAAGACCGTTTTTGCTGGATTAGCATGCACAAGGGAAACGTTACGAATCATAATCGGTGAGTCACGGCGATATTTTATCGGCTATTTTTGGAGTGCTTGTTTGACAGAGACGTTAACTGTACCTGCTGTTGTTATTGTATCTTGAAATGGTTTGCATAAATCGAATTACAAGAACCGTAGCTTTCTAATGAGATATCACATTAATACTCATCGTTACAGAGCAGTTGTGTACATAACACAAATCTACACTTATCTGTAACACTACCCCTGTAATACTACCTTACCTTTCCCTGCTGCATTCTCTGGACCGTTTCTTCTGGGGACCAATCACTGACATAGTCCTGATGACACAACATGATGACATCATCATTAGTACACCAGAAAAAAAGAATCTGATGGGCATCTTTACAGTCTTTAAACAGTCTTTAAATCAGATTACTTTAATTAGATTATTAGTCCTTAATCAGATTACCTTGTATTCTGATTTGGGTTTTCTGAGTTCTGGAGCGTAGAGCCTGACAGACGAGTCACTGAGCGCTAAAACACACAAACATCAACATCAGTCTAAGTCACTCATTCATAAGCTCACTTTCTACCTCGCTCTCTTACTCTTTCACTCTCTCTCTAACTCTTTCAGTCTCTCACACTCTGTCTCTCTCTCAACCTCAGAGTGTAGTTCACTCACAGTCAGTGAACGACTGGAAGTTTCCTCCTTTCGTTTTTCCTGCAGAGAAACAGATTAACCTTCAGTGTGTTTCAGTCACCTGTCTGTCCACCTGTCTCACCTGTCTGTCTCATCTGTCTCACCTTTGAATAGAGAGCTCAGAGAGTATCCTGAGTGACTCTTGCTGATCGTCACTGTGTCTGTGTTGATTTTGGGGAAGGCGGGCTCTCTGTCTGTTTTCTGATTGGACGCTGCCGTCTCACTGACCGACCAGGAAATACCTGAGGAGACACAGGAAATGATCGTAACCCTGCAGCCAATCAAAGCTCACGATTCTAACTAGGCGTTTTAATAACAACAGTCATGTCTTACTGCCGACAGGTTCTCCGCTCCAGCTGACCTTCTCCACCTCTTCTTCATCATCGTCTTCCTCCACCAGGCAGCGAATGCTGTTCACCGCCCGCTTTGACTCCTTTAACTGGAGAACACAATGTCAACACTTCAAGGTCTGTCAGTGCACCTGTGTGTCAGTGCAGCTGTGGGTCTGTACACCTGTGGGTCAGTGCACCTGTACAGGTAGATTTGGGTCTCACCCGGCTGAACTCGTCATCTTCATCATCGAAGGTGAAGGCTTTAAACTTGGAGCTGTTCCAGTAGTCTTCCTCGTCTGCTTTACTCTTCATCATCTGGACAAACAAAGAAAACTTTATTTAAACTGTCAACATGAAGAAGAAGAGCTTCACGAGATGTTAGAGTCAGAAGCTAACATGTCAGCTGGCTGATGTTCACCTGTGTATTTACGTGTATATTGTGTGTATATTTTATGCATTCTGTGTATTCTACTCTGTGTGTGTATTCTGTATATTCTGTGTATATTCATTCTGTGTGTATATTCTGTTTATTCTGAGTGTATATTCTGTGTATTCTGAGTGTATATTCATTCTGTGTGTATATTCTGTGTATTCTGAGTGTATATTCATTCTGTGTGTATGTTCTGCGTTTATATTCATTCTGTGTATATTCTGTGTATTATGTGTATTCTGTGTCCCAGCTTGGATGTATCTGTTAGCATGCTAACAGATACGCCAGTGTGTAACCCGGATGTAACTCTTTGTTCCACGTTGACAAACGGCGGGAACAGTAGTTGTCCACACGCGCACACAGAATATGTTCTTTGATCCAACATACATGAGTTTAAAACACGATAATCGATCAGAACCGATCAGATGTGTTTACCTTCAGTTGTAGCTGCTACTCTTCTTTGACGGAGGCTTCACGACTTCCGGCAACGCGCAGGCTGCTGGGAGTTGTAGTGAACAATGAAACAGCCGAAGTGATAAGCTCAAAGCCCCGGTAATAATTACAAATATAATAATTAAAGATATAATAACTAAAGGAAAATATTAACAGAAGTTTTTATGACGTTAACCTAATAAAATATGAACCAAATATAAATACATTTATTTTATTTAATCTTTCATTCAAAGAATTTAAATCGAACAAACTGGACAAAACTATTTAAAAATTATACGATTTAAAAAATGAAAAAATAAAATAAATAAAATATAAAGTGGTGAAAAGTAGACAAAATAAAAAATTACCTTTAAAAATGACAAAAAACAAACAAACATATTTTTGATGTTAGTAAGTGATTTAATGTAGTGTGTAATGACCGATCCATTTTAATACTATAGTTGTTTTTTAATCTTATATTATTAATATTATTACTTTTAATGTTTGATCATTGTCAGTCTGATTTAGTCTCATTAAGCTTCTATGACTTTGTTTTGAAAAGTGTTGTAGTAATAAAGTTTATTATATTTACTATTACTGGAGGTTTACTTTGAAAGGCTCTACAGGAAGTAGAAAAAATGAAGTGGTTTCAAGTTTCATCTGAAAAGTCAGAGACTCAGACGTTTAAGGACAGCTGGTCAGAATACAAGTACAGTAAGTACAGCAGTAATACTACAGCAAGTACAGCAGTACTACTACAGTCAGTACAGCAGTAATACTACAGCAAGTACAGCAGTGATACTACAGCAAGTACAGCAGTAATACTACAGCAGTAATACTACAGCAAGTACTACTACAGTATATTAGTACAGTACATATACTACAGTAGTACTCAGTACTCTGATGGCTAAATGGGGTGAAGGAGATCCTCGATGGATCGTTGAGCAGAGAGCAGACGGAACAAACGTCAACAACTGGCACTGGTCTGTATTTATTATTATTATTATTACTTCTATTATTATAAACATTATTACTATTGTCATTATTATTGTTATTATTATTGTTACTATTGTCATTGTTATTATTAGTGGACCACAGAGAAGAAACTCAAACATCATCTGACAGATGTAAAACAAGTTATTATATTATAATATATAATATATTATAATATTGTATAATATAATCTATTATAATATAGTGTATTATATATTATAATACAGATAGTATAATATATACTATATATATATATTATACTATATATTATAATATACTATAATATCTAATATTATAACATACTATATTATAATATTATTATATATTATAATATAGTATAATATATAATAGAGTGTGTTTGTTATTCGATCCTCCAGCTGTTCAGATATTTTTAAATGTCCTGTCAGAGGAGGGCGATGCTATATGACTAGCGCTGCATCATCAACTCATTCTATTTCTATTACCTCCTCCTCCTCCTCCTCCTCCTCCTCCTACCTCCTCCTCCTCCTACTACTACTACTACTACCCCTCCTCCTCCTCCTTAGGACAGAGCGTGATGTGAGCTCCTGGTCCTCGGTGCTCATCCGTGACCTCCTCCTAGGAGTCTCTCTTAAAGGGCTGGAGGGTGTAGTTGAGCTGACGGAGGTCGACAGACTTGAAGGAGAATCTTCCATCAACAACCGGAGAGGAAAACTCTTCTTCTTCTATGAGTGGAGGCTGAGGGCCAGCTGGCTGGGTCAGTGATGATGTCACTGATGACGACATAATAATAATAATAATAATAAATCAATTTTCTATAGTGCCTTTCAAAATACCCAAAGACGCTTTACAAGGCAGAGACAAACAGAACAAACAAACAAACAAAAAAATTAAAAAAAATAAAAATAAAAGAATGACTGGAGAAGCTATGCTGAATGGGTCATGTAGTGGAGGGTAGGGTGCAGGGGTTAGCAGGTGAAGGCGAGTTTGAAGAGGTGGGTTTTGAGGGCTTGTTTGAATGATGATAGGGAGGGAGCCTCACGGATGTGGATGGGGAGGGCGTTCCAGAGGGGAGGTGCAGCAGCTGAGAAGGCCCTCTCACCCCAGGTCCGGCGCTTGGTCCTGATGGTCTTCAGAGTGTTTGCACCGGCGGACGTGAGGCAACGGGTTGGGGCGTGGAGGGGGAGGTGCTCTGAAAGGTAGGGAGGGGCCAGGTTGTTTAGGGCTTTGTAGGTGGTGAGTAGTATTTTGAAGTCTACTCTGTATTTGACCGGGAGCCAGTGGAGGTTGTGAAGGACTGGGGTGATGTGACCATAGCGGCGGGTGGAAGTGAGCAGTCGAGCGGCAGAGTTCTGAACATATTGGAGTTTATTGATGATTTTGTTGGGAGAACCATAGAGGATGCTGTTGCAGTAGTCGAGTCTGGAGATTATGAGGGCATGGATGAGAATTTCTGTGGTGGCAGAGGACAGGGAGGGTCGGAGGCGTGCAATGTTCCTGAGGTGAAAGAAGGCAGTTTTGGTGATGTGGTTGGCGTGAGGTAGGAAAGAGAGGGTGGGGTCGAGGATGATACAGAGGTTGCGGACCTGGGTGGTGGGGGTGACGATGGAGCCATCAATGTTGAGGGAGAAGGGCTGGGCTGAGCGGGTGAGGGAGTTAGGGCCGATGATGAGTATTTCAGATTTGTTGCAGTTGAGTTTGAGAAAGTTCTGTTGCATCCATGATTTCATATCAGTGAGACAGGTGGTGAGAGTGGAGTGGGTGACGGAGGTGATGGTCTTGGTGGAGAAGTAGAGTTGGGTGTCGTCAAAGTAGCAGTGGAAGTTGAGACCTTGACGACGGATGATTTGTCCAAGGGGAAGGATGTAAATGATGAAGAGGAGGGGACCAAGCACGGAACCTTGGGGGACACCGTGGGTGACTGGGGAGGTGGAGGATTTACAGTTGTTTATTGCAATGAATTGATGTCGGTCTGAGAGATATGAGGTGAACCAGGAGAGGGCAGTGCCAGTTATGCCAAGGGAGTACTGGAGACGTGAGAGGAGGATGGAGTGGTTGATAGTGTCGAAGGCGGCGCTGAGGTCAAGGAGGATGAGGATGGTGAGGAATCCAGAGTCAGCAGAGAGAAGTATATCATTTGTGATTTTCAGTAGGGCGGTTTCTGTGCTGTGTTTTGAACGGAAGCCGGATTGGAAGGGTTCGTAGAGATTATGGAGATTGAGGTGGGACTTGAGTTGTGATGCAACAGCTCTCTCAAAAACTTTGAACAGGTAGGGGAGGTTGGAGATGGGCCGGTAGTTGTTGGGGATGTCGGGGTCAAGACCAGGCTCTTTCAGCACGGGGTGACAGCAGTGATCTTGAGTGTGGGGGGTATGAGACCTGAAGACAGTGAGGAGTTGATGATGTTGGTGACGAGAGGGGAGAGTGTGGGGAGGCAGGCCTTGACTAAGGAAGAGGGGAGGGGGTCAAGGGCACAGGTGGAGGTCTTCATGCTGGAGAGTATGGAGGAGAGGTCCATTTCAGTGATTGAACTGAAGGATGAGAGTGAGTGGCTTGGAAGGAGGGGAGAGTCATGTTGAGGGCTTGGGGGGGTGGTGGGGGCTGCCAGCTGGTTGTGTATTGCAATGATTTTGTCATTGAAGAAGGATAGAAATGAGTTGCATTTGCTGGTGGTGAAGGAGGTGGAGATGGTGTCCATGGGCTTGAGGAGTCTGTTGATGGTGGAGAAAAGCGTTTTGGGGTTGTTGGAGCCAGATTGGATGATGGAGGAGTAGTGAGAGGAGCGAGCGGTTTTCAGGGCATCTTTATATTGTTGTTGGTGGAGTTTGAAGGCATCAAGGTGAACAGTAAGTTTTTTTGGCAAGACGTTCCAGTTGACGGCCCTGCACTTTGAGGAGGCGAAGTCGGTCAGTGTACCAGGGGGCGGAGGGGGTGAAGGAGATGAGTTTGGATTTTTTGGGGGCGATGATGTCAAGACAGGAGGAGAGTGCATCATGATAGTACTTGACCAGGGCAGTGGGGGACGCAGTCGAAATAGGGGCAGAGGCAGAGACAGTGGCAGCCAAGGTGGAGGAGAGCGAGGAGATGTTGATAGACTTGATGTTCTGGAATGTTATGGTGCGATTCTGCTTAACATGGGGGGTGGGGATGTCTATGTCCAAGTTGATAGCCAGGTGGTCAGAGATGGTGAGGTCGATGCTGGTTAGATTGCTGATGGTAACGCCGGAGGTGCAGACCAGGTCAAGTGTGTGTCCTTTTTTATGGGTGGGAAAGTCGACATGTTGGGTGATGAAGTAGTTAAAGATGTCCAGGAGTTCTGTAGAAGTTGTGGAGTCAGATGAGTCGACGTGTATGTTAAAGTCACCGAGTAGCAGAATGGATGGAGAGATGGCGCAAAGTTGTGTGAGAAATTCAGACAGGTCAGAAGGGAAAGCAGGGTTAGGTTTTGGGGGGCGGTAAATGACTGCAGTAACCAGGGGTTTGGGACCAGACAGTTTAAAAACAAGGTGTTCAAATGAGGAGGGAGCCGAGATGGTTATTGCAGTTGTAGTGATGCCTTTGCAAAAAATTGTGGCTATTCCACCACCACGCCCATGGAGGCGTGGCTTGTCCACGTATGAATATCCAGGGGGTGTGGTTTGGTTTAGTGAAAAGTAATCCTGTTGGTTTTGCCATGTTTCGGTTAAACAGAGAAAGTCCAGATTATTGTCAGTTGTGAATTCACTGAGTAAGAGGCCCTTGTTGTTTAGGGAACAGAGCAATTTTGAGATGTGGATGAATTTGGGCAGGCTGGGGTGCTCTGGTAAGGGGGCGGAGGTAGGCAACTCGCTCGTGTAGATTGTTGTGGTGATGACGTGCAGGAGTTGCGGCAGTGCGCTCAGCTGACCAGAGGGAGGGGATGGAAAGAGTGGAGCGATCAGGCCAGGAGTAAACAAACTTTCTGCGGGAGGCTCTGTGGATGTACCGGGGCCGACGGAGGAGTCCAAGTGTTTTGATGGCTGAGATAAACGGAGGAGCAGAGAAGTTGTTGAGTTGGAGGAGTTGCGAGGTGGAGTATTGCAGAACCATGTCAGCCTGAGGTCTTTTGTCGACATCATGACAAACATGCTAACAAGACAAACATGCTAACAAGACACACACACAAACATGACAAACACGCTAACACAACAAACATGCTAACAAGACAAACATGCAAACATGACAAACATACTAACATGACAAACATACTAACATGACAAACATGCTAACAAGACAAACATGCAAACATGACAAATATGCTAACAAGACAAACATGCTAACATGGCAAACATGCTAACAAGACAAACATGCTAACATGTTATTTTAACAGTACTATGTGTCTCTTTGCGATGTTAGCTTCTCAAAGCTAAAAACAAGAACGATGAGCGTCCGATAACTAAAATGTTTGTGGCACCGTGAAGATAAAAGTGAAGATAAAAGTTAAAAACGTCTTTGGGTTCGATATCCAGCTCTTCTTCTGTGGTGTTAACTGTTTATTGTCTGCAGGGACGTCCAGCAGCGGCGTGAAGTTCAGAGGAACCGTTGACGTTTCTAACTTATCGGACGAGAACGACATGGACGACCTCGACGTTAGTACTACTTCCTGTTCCTGGTATTGATCGCTCTACTTATAGATGAATTGATCATCATATTGATCACCTTATTCCTGTCCAGATCTCGGTGTCTCTGTGCAAAGACCAGCCCGACACACCGCTCCTCGGCCTCATGAAGAAGACCGGCGTTCAGGAGGTCCGGAGGGTTTTGGGCGAGTTCGTCCACCGGCTCAAATCAGGTCTGTTACCCAGAATGCATCTATCCTAACCAATCAGTGACGATCCCTGTAGTAACCTGAGTGACCTCATAGAGTTCAGTCAAGGTATGATCCTCGCTAAGGCCGACCAACCGGAGCCACCTGAACCTCAGAACCAGAAGGACCAGATCCAGACCAGTAGACCTCAGACCCAGAAGAACCAGATCCAGACCAGTAGAGCTCAGACCCAGAACAACCAGATCCAGACCAGTAGAGCTCAGGTAGAGTTACACATCCAGACATTCAGCTGAGACCGGTGTGGAAGTATCCTCTGACCTCTTTGTTTTATCCTACAGAAAAGTTCCGCCACCAGGTGTTCCTCTGGCCCCGCCCCCTCCCTCCCAGGTGTTCCTATCAAAACCTGCACCTTTAATCTGACGGAAACCTTCCAAACGTCTCCTGATGAGCTGTACAGGACCTTCATCAGCCAGGAGGTACCAGACCAGAACAGACCAGAGTAAAACCAGGCCGAACCAGGTCAGACCAGGGTGAAACCAGGCCGAACCAGGTCAGACCAGGGTAAAACCAGGTCAGACCAGAACAGACCAGGGTAAAACCAGGCCGAACCAGGTCAGACCAGGGTAAAACCAGGTCAGACCAGAACAGACCGGGGTAAAACCAGGTCAGACCAGAACAGACCGGGGTAAAACCAGGCCAAACCAGGTCAGAACAGGGTAAAACCAGGTCAGACCAGGTCAGACCAGGGTAAAACCAGGTCAGACCAGAACAGACCAGGGTAAAACCAGGCCAAACCAGGTCAGAACAGGGTAAAACCAGGTCAGACCAGAACAGACCGGGGTAAAACCAGGTCAGACCAGAACAGACCGGGGTAAAACCAGGTCAGACCAGGACAGATCAGGGTAAAACCAGGCATAACGGTTTTATATGAAGCACTTTGAATTGCCTTGTTGTTGAAATGTGCTATACAAATAAACTTGCCTTGCCTTGCCTAGTAATGAAGTATTGTAGTAGTACTGCAGTTTTGTAGTAGTAATGCAGTACTGTAATTGTACTGCAGTATTGTAGTAGTAATGCAGTATTGTAGTAGTATTGCAGTGTAGTAGTAATACAATACTGCAGCTTCTAATGACGCCATGAGAATATTGCTAAAGAGACCGAGATGGAGTAGTGCCAGTGAAATGTTTGTGGCTGCAGGAGTCAATACTTTCCAAACGGTTTTAAGAAATCTTACGTATAAATGTATTTGACCTTCTCCTCAGTTCGTGCAGGTGTTCACTCGTTCGGCTGCTCAGGTGGACGGTCGGAGAGGAGGACAGTTCCAGATGTTGGACGGCAGTGTCAGAGGAGAGTTCACACAGCTGGTGAGGTAACAGCTGCTCAGCCAATCGGTGCAGAGTTGTCGCATGGCCATGGTAACCAGACCGCCGCTCCTCCCCTCAGGTACCGAACCGAAGGATCGAGATGAGGTGGCGGTTCAGAACGTGGCCCAGTGGTACGTCTGTGATGAGGAGAACCTTCTCTGCTGGTGAGTTCAGGGACAATCTGACATCTGAGCTTTGTCTCCTTCAGAACACTACGCCTCCGTCAGTCTGGAGCTGGAGGAGCGAGGAGACGAGACGGAGCTGAGGATGGAGTGTGGAGGAGTCCCTGAAGGAGAGGAGGAGTCCACCAGAGAGGGATGGACCCGCTTCTACTTCAGGGCCATCAAACAGGTGTTTGGATACTGAGAGGCTCCACTCCCTAGAGGCTGAACTGTGTCATGACGTGAGCGTGACATCAACGTCTTAAAGGAACAGTTCAAAGGTTTCATGGAGGCTCACAGCATGGTAGCATAGCTTAGCTTAGCATAGTTTAGCTTAGCATGAAGACTAAGTGTTAGCCCAGCTCCATCAGAAGTTTAAAAAAAAGAACCAACTAAACCAACGGTTTGATCCGTTGTGTCTGAATCATTGTGTCAATAAAGTTTGGACAGTTCAAGTCTTCCTGTCGATGACTCTGATTGGTTCTGTCATCAGAGTCATTCTTTTTTTAATTGTTTCATTGTTTCATCAAAGCAGCAAAAATAAAATGTTTACTGAAAATAAAGTAATAAAACATCAACACACTCATTTCCTTTACAGTTTTATTTATATTTTTACATAATAATGTTTTTTTCTCTCATCAGAAACAACAAAGTAAAAATACTCAAAGTACACATTCATTTATAAGACAAATACACAATAAAAACACTAAAAACACAAACATTTAAAACACATTAAAGCCATTTGAATCTGGAAGGATTTCATATTTTACAGGAATGTGAGTTTTAATATTTACATTCAAACAGATCAATAAAAAAATATGAACATGAGCTCAGTGATATCAAATCTATGAAAAATGATCAGAGAACAATAAAAACAATTAAATATCAGTTATGGATTTCTGTAACATTGATCCAGTTTAGAGGTCAGCAGGGCGGAGCTAGAAGACTTCCTCCTCACAGCCATAGTCTGTAAAACATAATCAATCAATCAATTAATATATCAACCAACCAACTAACCAATCTTTACTATCTATTAAGCTTTATTAATACTTCTTCGTTAACGGTTTCCTCTTCTGATAGCGTTAGTGGTCAGTGGTTAGTGATTAGTGGTCAGTGGTCAGTGATTAGTGGTCAGTGGTTAGTGGTCAGTGATTAGTGGTTAGTGGTCAGTGGATAGTGGTCAGTGGTTAGTGATTAGTGGTCAGTGATTAGTGGTCAGTGATTAGTGGTCAGTGGATAGTGGTTAGTGGTCAGTGATTAGTGGTCAGTGGTTAGTGATTAGTGGTCAGTGGATAGTGGTCGGTGGTTAGTGGTCGGTGGTTAGTGGTCAGTGGTTAGTGGTCAGTGATTAGTGGTCAGTGATTAGTGGTCAGTGGTTAGTGGTCAGTGATTAGTGGTCAGTGATTAGTGGTCAGTGGTCAGTGGTTAGTGGATAGTGGTCAGTGATTAGTGGTCAGTGGGTCTATGACCTCTCCTTCCTGTAGGTTTTTAGAATAAAAGCCTGGACTGACCTCCTACGAGCTGCAGAGCGCTGACACACTCCTCCTCCACCTCCTCTTCCTCCTCTTCCTCCTCCACCACAGTGGTTGGAGCAGAAGGGGCGGAGCTTCTGTCTGGTTCAAATTTAGTAGTCACTTCGGATGAAGTCTCTGTTGTCATGGTGACAGTGTTTTCTGCCTTAGAGGTGAAACACATTGAGTTTAAAATAAGATGTGATGTAATATGTTTTTATATAAAGATATATGTATATTTACAGTATGATGTAATATGTTTGTATATTAAGATGTATAAACATAACCTCAGAGGGCTGCAGCTACACATGTCATCTTATTATCACATCATTTGATTTGAGGCTCTAGTGAAGAACTTTTAAAGCTAACCAGCAGACGGCTACTTAGTTAGCTTACTAATTCCACCATGTTTTCATGGCTAACTAACCAGCTCCAAAGACTAGCTAGCTACCTAACCAGCTCTGAAGACTAGCTAGTTAACTAGTCACCCCGGAAGACTAGCTAGCTAACTAACCAACTCTGAAGACTAGCTAGTTGACTAGTCACCCCCGGAGACTAGCTGGCTAACTAGTCAGCTCCAAAGACTAGCTAGCTAACTAACCAGCTCTGAAGACTAGCTAGCTAACTAGTCACCCCCGGAGACTAGCTAGTTAATTAACCAACTCCAGAGACTAGCTAGCTAACTAGTCAGCTCCAGAGACTAGCTAGTTAACTAACTAGCTCTGAAGACTAGCTGGCAAACTAACTGACTGAAGCAGTCTGGAGGAGTATACATAACATTTATACATGTTTATTATTTGTGATGGGCGTTAATGCATTAATTAATTAACGCCGACAATTATTTTATCGCGCGTTAACGCAGGTTTTTAAAAATTATTATTTTGAAAGTCCATTGCTCACTGGCAACGGTGGAGGAAGTCTTCAGACTACGTTGATGCAGCGTGTGGTAGAAGTAGAGATAAACTAAAGCAAGACAAGCTAACAGATGCTACAGAGAAGTGGAGACAAACTGCAGGTTAGTGTTGTGGAAGATGTCGGTCTGAGGAACATTCTCAAGGTGCGTTCACGTCGCGTTTGGTGTGAACGCAGCTTTAGGATCTCAACAAATGACGTCACGTATGAGCCTCAAGACGCACCGTCACCAGAAGAACACACGAGTTGTATTAAAGGAGAGGACGACTAAAGCGACAGCGTTACAACGAGCAGCAGCTGCTGCTCTCACTGGAGACTACTGAACATCGCTGGGTCACCATCATCACCTCTGAGTTACAGCATTATGTTGATGAACAGTAGAGCTGCATTACATGCTCTGACTGTCATGAAGACACAACACACACATGTAGATGAAACGTGCTGAAACATGTTATTCATGTTGCACAGCAGTGGAACGTTTCACACACAGTCACACACTGAGCACAGATAGTGAAGAGATAGAACTGCTACTGTGTAAAGAGAATACTGCTGCTAACAACAACCTGATATGTTTACAAACCAAATGTTATTGCCCTTTTGTTCATATAGCAGTACTTTCAAAATAAAAGTGCGCAATACACTACTTTATATTTCATTATTGAACTTTGCCATAACAATGATATTAATCGCGATTAAAAATTGTAATCGTTGCCCAGCACTAGTTTATATATATAATATGCAGTTAAATATAATATGCAGTTATATATAATATGCATATATATAATATACAGTTATATATAATATGCAGTTGAATATAATATACAGTTATATATAATATACAGTTATATATAATAAGCATGTACGGTTGCTCACCTGGACGTCTGTTTTCTTCTTCTTTGATGTGGAGGACAAAAGGAGTCGGACCCTAAGATGAACAAGAAGAACATTAATGTTCATATTGATGCATCTTTATGTATACATATCTTTATGTAGATATGTATCTTTATGTATATATATATATATATATATATATATATATGTCTTCATGTAGATATGTATCTTTATGTATATATTTATATATATACATATATTTGTATGTATATATATCTTAAAGTATATATACATACAGTATATCTAGATGTATATCTTTATATATACAGTATATATCTTAATATATATATATATATATATACATACTATATCTAAGGATCTACCTCTTCCCCATGATGCTGGTGGTAGTGGCAAGATCTCGGTTAGCGTCACTGGTCTTCCTGCGGCGGCGGCGGTTGAGTCGTCTCCGTGTGGTGGCGGGGGTGTCGGAGGTCTCTCTACTGGGACTGCTGCCCTCCACACTTCCTGTCCCTCTGCTGTTCAGGTCTCTGAGAACGTCGTAGTTGATCTTACTGGAGATCTTCTTCTTCTCCAGCATCCTCTCGATGGCCTCGCCCGCCGTCAACGCCTGAATCTGCTCCTTCTTCTTCTTGGACTTCTTCGGCTGGAGACGGACACAATGTAATTTTATTTAATATCATAGTATATTATTATATATATATAATATATATATATGTTAATATACAGGAACTCAACACTTCCTGCTGGATTTTCACATTAAAAGTCTTGTGATTGATGGGTGTTTCTTTGATCTGTGGATTAAAACATGATGGCGTGATTTATTTAAATGTATCGTTGTAGCCTGTTGGGTCACTGGGCCCTGAGCGTCTCTGAGCGTCTGGGGCCACCAAGGTTTTCTGAAGGTCTCTAAGGGTCTGGGGTCTCTGAGGGTCTGGGGTCTCTAAGGGTCTGGGGTCTCTGAGGGTCTGGGGTCTCGGGCCCCTGAGGGTCTCTGAAGGTCTGGGGTCTCTGAGGGTCTCTGAAGGTCTGGGGTCTCTGAGGGCCTCCAACCCCCACCCCCTCCTCCTACTTCCTCCCTTCTCCCTGATAATTTCGCCAACTTCTTTGACAAGAAGGTAAATTATGTCAGATCCTCTTTCTCTCAGCCCCCCTCCCTGTCCACCCTCTCCCTCTCTACCCTCTCCAGCTCTTCCCCCTCAGCTCTCCCTCCCCATCTTACCCTATCTTGCTCCCCTCTCCCCTAACGAGATCCTCAACCTTGTTACATCTAACCGCCCCACCACGTGCTCCCTTGACCTGATCCCTCCCCTCTTCTTCAGTCTGTTGCGAGTGAACTCCTTCCTTTCCTCACCCACCTCATCAACACATCTCTTGTTTCAGGATGCTTTCCCACAGCTTTCAAGACTTCCAGAGTCACCCCCTTCTGAAGAAACCATCACTTGACCCCTCTGATGTCAAGAACTTCAGACCGGTTTCTCTTCTACCCTTTCTATCCAAAACACTTGAACGTGCTGTCTTTAAACAAATGTCTTCCTATCTCCACCAGAACAGCCTCTTGGACCCCCACCAGTCTGGGTTGAAGGTGGGTCACTTGACAGAGACAGCCCTCCTTGCGGTGACAGAGTCGCTTCACGCCGCGAGAGCGAACTCTCTCCTCTGTCCTGATTCTCCTGGACCTGTCTGCGGCGTTTGATACGGTGAACCACCAGATCCTCCTCTCCACCCTCGAGGGGATGGGCATCTCAGGCTCTGCACTCTCCCTGTTTGCATCCTACCTGACAGGTCGATCCTACCAGGTGACATGGAGGAGAGCCGTGTCGGAACCATGCATGCTGACTACGGGGGTTCCACAAGGCTCAGTCCTGGGCCCCCTTCTCTTCTCGCTCTACACAACCTCTCTGGGTTCTGTTATTTGCTCGCATGACTTCTCTTACCATTGTTATGCCGATGACACCCAGCTGGTCTTGTCATTTCCCCCCGGGGACACTCAAGTGGAGGCACGCATCGCTGCGTGCTTGGCTGACATCTCGATGTGGATGACGACACACCACCTCAAGCTCAACCTGGACAAAACCGAGCTACTGTTCCTCCCGGGGAAGGGTTGCCCGCACCGAGACCTGTCCATCTCCATTGATGATACCGTGGTGACACCAACTCAGACTGCAAGGAAACTGGGTGTGAGCCTGGACGACCAACTGCCGTTCTCAGCAAAAATTGCATCGGTTACACGCTCCTGCAGATTCCTGCTCTACAACATCAGGAGGATTCGCCCCTTCCTCACTGATGAGACGCGCAGGTGCTCATCCAGGCTCTTGTCATCTCCCACCTGGACTACTGCAACTCTCTACTTGCCGGAGCCCCGGCATCGGCCATCAGACCTCTGGAGCTTGTCCAGAAAGCTGCAGCTCGTCTGGTGTTCAATCACCCCAAGTTCTCCCACACAACTTCCCTTCTCCGTTCTCTACACTGGCTTCCTGTAAGAGCTCGCATCCAGTTTAAGACTCTGGTGCTAGCCTACAGGGGAGTGAAAGGAACAGCTCATTCCTATCTCCAGGCCATGGAGCCTTGTTTGAAGAAAGGAGATGCACTTATGACTTCTGGTGACTAGTAGTTCTCTTGAATACCTATGTTGAATACACTTATTGTAAGTCGCTTTGGATAAAAGCGTCTGCTAAATGACTGTAATGTAATGTCTCTGAGGGTCTCTGAAGGTCTGGGATCTCTGAGGGTCTCTAAGGGTCTGGGGTCTCTGAAGGTCTGGGGTCCCTGAGGCAGTAGCCAGGTTAGTAATCCAGTCCTAATCCCTAATGAGCCCAGGACAGCCCCTGGACTCCGGACAGGGAGACCCTGTGCTTCCCACTCACCTTCTCTTTATAGGTTCCTTGTTCCTTCTCCTTCTTGATCCTCTCTTCTTTCTCTGAGGAAGACCATGTTGAAGATGATTAACAGTCAGTAACACAAAGAGGAAGACTATGATGAAGACCATGATGAAGACTATGATGAAGGCCATGATGAAGACCGTGATGAAGAGGACCAACAATTAGTCAATAACACAAAGAGGAAGACTATGATGAAGACCATGATGAAGATAACCTTTCTGCTCCTTCAGATATTCTGCGTTCTGTTTCATCCAGAGCTCCGTCTTCACCTCGACCTCCCGATCGTTCAGGATGTACTGCAGCAGAAAATCAGAAGAAGAACACACCACATCCTGTTCACTCCTTTCACAGTAAAAGCATCTTTACTTATTTATAATATACTGAAGATGAACTCTGTGTTAAACCTTTGTGAGGCTGCATGGATCAATACATCAGTGATTAATGAATGAAGTTACCTTATCAATCTCCTGATCATCGATGTCCTTCAGGTCCAACTCTCCACTCTCCGACTGCTCATCTGTAACAACACCACAATCAACAGGTAACCTGTTTACACCTGTTTACCATGAGCTAATGACGCATTGACAAAGTAATGATGACGTAATGACGATGTAATGACGCAATAATAACGTAATGATGACGTATTTACGATGTAATGATGACGCATTGACAAAGTAATGATGACGTATTGATGACGTAATGATGATGTAATAACGATGTAATGCTGACATATTAACGACGTAATGACGACATGATGACGTAATGACGTAATAACGTAATGATGACGTATTTATGATGTAATGACGCCGTAGTGATGACGTAATGACGTAATAATAATAATGTAATGATGACGACGTAGTGATGGCGTATTGACGACGTAATGATGATGGCGTAATAATAACGTAATGATGACGTAATGACGACGTAGTGATGACGTATTTATGATGTAATGATGACGTAGTGGTGATGTAATAATGACGACGTAGTGCTGACGTAATTATGACGTATTGATAATGTAATGATGACATAATGACAACGTATTTATGATGTAATGATGTATTTACGACGTAATGATGACGCAATGACAACGTAGTGATGACGTATTGATGACCCAATGATGACGTCATACACACCGTCTGGTTTCTCGCCCCGGTCCGACTCGGTGAAGGTCTGGAAGGTCTGTTGGAGGCTCAGGCCGGCTGCAATCGGCAGTTTCCCCAGGATGACGGCCAGAGGAGCGGCCTGACGATGAGGCCCCGCCCCCATCTTGTCTGACCCCGCCTCCTGCTTGCCGTCATCTGGCTTCTTGCCCCGCCCCTCCTCCTCCTGGATCACCTCACACAGGAAGTTCTGGGTCAGGTGTTGGGCGGCAGCTTGAAGATCGGCGTCTTCGACCTCCGGCACCTCTGGTTCAGAGGTCTGGGAGGAGACCTCGACGTCATCAGGGTCTGAAAAGAAGAAGTGAAGAGTGGTGACGTGGTTCAGATGTTGAGGTGGACTGACTGAGGATCAGTACAGACCGATCTCTTTGGCGTAGGCGGCATAGATTCCTCTGAGTTTAGGTCGGCTCTTCTCCAGCTCCGTCTCGATCTCGTCTTTGTAGCAGCTGATCTCTCCTGAAAGGATGAAACGTTTAGTCCTTCAAAGGGTTAAAAAGCTGTTCAGAAAAATCCTAAAATAACTGGAAGATCTAAATTTGATCAAAATCCCAATAAGTCAAAGGAGGCTCAGTATTTGTTAGATACGATACCACCTTCTATCACATCATAATCATTTTAATGTTTCATTGGAAATAAGAATAATGTACGTCTGACATTAAAACATTCTTAGTCAACAAAGAATCACACCAGACTTTAAATCCAGTGTTGACCAGAGATGAAGAACGACTCACTGAAGAGATCTTAAGACCAATCAGTCGACCAATCGAATCAGAGAGGGCGGGCCTAGAATAATGACATCATATTTATATATTGTTGAAAGATCGTAGAAAAGTATGAAAGCATAAAAGTATAACTCTTATAACCTGTAACCTTTTTGATTCAAAGTATAACCATTAAACCTATAACCTGTTTTACTTTATGATAGAAGTGATTAACCATATAAACTGCATAGACTTATATAAAATAGTCACTCAAAACTTATATAATCCTTCCTCTTCTGAACAGGATCAAACCAGTTACATTCTGTGTCAGCTCTAAAAGAAGGAGGACTCATGTGTGAGTGACACATGAAATGAAGGAGGTGCCAGCCTTAGATCAGCAGAGAGACTGTGAGAGTTGGGCTTTTTCCTCAACTAGAGGATGGGATAGACTTCTTGAATAGACCCTTAGGGGTCTTACCCCCAAAGGATAGAGGACAAGAAGACCCTTCTACTGTCTTACCCCTCAGAGACGAGGAATAGAAGACGCTTTTGCTATCAGAGGAAAGATAGACCCCCAAAAGAGGCAGGGATGTCAGAGAGCTGACTGAGAGAGCCTGCACTTACAGGAAAGCAGCAGAGCAGAGCAGAGAGAAGGAAAAGGGGGAGATTTGAAGGAGAGATCCTGGACATTATTCCTCATAGCAAATCAGTGAAAGCTGATTAAGAGGAAAACGTATTACAGTAGGAGTGTTAGAATTAGTTCTTGTAGCACTGTGACTGTTTCATTGAATTTAAATTGTTGTATGTGATGGTTGCGTGAAAATCTTTAATAAAACCACAGCCTTACATTTTGTAAGTGTCTGAAACCAAACAAAGTACTCTGGTCCTTTAGAACAGTGTAACCCTCTTCCCCTGTCCGTTAACGGGGCGATAAGATGTGACGACTGAAACATGCAGAGGAGCTTAAGGTGAGTTCCCTGGGTGAAGACTTGGCAGTGTTCGTCATAAATGGTGAGAATGTTCACAATAGGCAATAGTAAAGTATAGATGATGTACATAACTATTCATACAGGGTGTTAGGGTTACATCCTACTGAGAGCGCCTAGGGCTTAGCCGTACAAGACTTTCAAGAAGAGAATAATTCCGAAATCCTAACGATTTAGCTATGGGGTGAGATAAAAGGCCGAAGGTATTGTTCCGACACCTCCAAGAGGAACGTACGTATACCCTCGCAGGTGGGACAGCCGACGGAGTGACCGCCGTGTTAGGTGCGAAAGACTTCTGTAATGGGAAAATATGTTATAGTATCATGTGAAATTTTAGAGAATGTACAACTGAAAGTGAGGAACACAGGCGGACACAGAACAGCAGTTCTGCAGATGATTTTAATTAGTTTTGTATCCAGGTGTCTTGTTATCTTTTCCCACAAGGGTGAGAAGTGAAGAGACACTGTTTCTTTGTTGGTAAGACAAAGATTGAGACAAGACCTTGAAACCGGAACTGAATGTCCGCAGAAACAGACAGCCTGTGTCTGAAATACCATACTCCCCTTTTGACACATTATCTGAAGTTGTAAAGGAGTGAACCTTCTGTATGCATAAAATGATGTGGTGTCTGATACTTCGTCGGAGCATTCACACAGTCTACTGAATACGTAGTTGCTGTGCTTTCTTCCCTCTTGCAAGAGAATAAACGGAAAAAGACAACTTTGAATCTTCTGATGACTTCATTATTGATTTGTGAAGAAAAACTCTCTTCTCCCGATTAACCTAGAAATTTTCCACCACAATTCCCTGCCTAGAAATGGGTCAGGAGCGCTACAATATATTATGAACTGACCTTCGACTTCATCCAGCTTCCTGGCCAGCTCGTGTTCCAGCTGCAGAAGAAGAGGAGAGGAAAGATGATTGGTCGGGTCATTGATCATTGGTGAACTGTCAGCAGCCAATCAGAGACAGAGGGATCTACCTGTTGCATCTTGACTTTGTGCTGTCCGGCGGTGAAGGAGGGTGGATCACATTCCTGCTCCAGATCTACTTTCATGAACTCATCAATGGTCAGCTGACTGGTGGGCGTGTCTTCAAACTCTGTTAACCTATAAAGAGATAGAGAGGATGCTGTAGTCCACTGAGATCTACTGTCATTCAAAGTGATCTATTGCAATCCACTGGGGTCTACTGTAGTCCACTGGGATCTACTGTCATCTAAAGTGATCAACTGGGATCTAAAGTGATCAACTGGGATCTACTGTCATCTGACGTGATCTACTGCACTCCACTGGGATCTACTATAATCCACTGGGATCTATTGCACTCCACTGGGATCTACTGTCATCTAAAGTGATCTACTGTAATCCACTGTGGTCAACTATAATCCACTGTGATCAACTGTAGTCCAATGTGATCTACTGCACTCCACTGGGATCTACTGCAGTCCAATGTGATCTACTATCATCTAAAGTGATCTAGTGTGATCTGCTCTCACCTCTTCCTCAGCGTGGTCTGGCAGACCTTCACAACACTGATCACATCCTTCACCGTACGACGAAACTTATGCATCCGAGCTGCCACCAGGAGAGCTGAGGAGGATGAGGAAGAGCAGGAGGACAGAATGTAAATATTAGGTCTCTAAAGGTTAATGCTGGATACAGACTGTGTTGTCCTCATCATTCATATCTATATTCCAGTGATGTGCATTGTTGCCGTGTTAACGGCGGCCATGTTGTACCTGCTCCACAGAGACCTGATGGTCGTCGTCCTGTGTGCATCCAGTCCCTCTTCATCCGCTGGACCAGACGAAGAGCCGTCATAGAAACCTCATGAGTCTTCATCCCAAACTCCAACAGGTGAGCAAAACGAGGGATGTAGAGGCACGGGTCTGAGGGGGGGAAAGGAGAGGGGAGGAGGAGAAGGGGAGGGAGAGGAGGAGAGGAGAGAGGAGGAGGAGAGGGGGGATGAGAGAGGAGAAGAGAGAGGGGGGGAGGAGAGAGGGGGGAGGAGGAGGAGAGGGGGAGGAGAGAGGAGAAGAGGGGGGAGAGAGAAGAGGAGAGAGGGGGAGAGGAGAGGAGGGGGG